GAGGGAAAGAAGGAAGGAAGGAAGGAAGGAAGGAAGGAAGGAAGGAAGGAAGGAAGGAAGGAAGGTTGGTTCTTGTCATGATTCCATTACAATTTGCAAAACTTGCCTACCTATCCAGCAGGGAAATGCAAACAGTGCCAGAAGTAGCAGAGCACAGATCTTCCTGGTCTGTACTTTTGGGAACATAAGGGGGGGGGGGGAATCCCAAGCCTACATAATCTCACACCAGCTTTCCTCAATTTTACATCCCCCAGATATGCTGCAGATGAACTTCCAAAGCGAGCAAAGGTCATGCTAGCTGAAGATTTCAGTCCAACATATCTGGAGGCACCAGCTTGAACAAGGCTGATTTACATGACCCACAGAGTCCATTCAGCAAATCTGCATCTCCTCACACTTCTATAAATCCTGTGACGACCGCTTGTGCTGGTTCTCTGGCAATCTATGTGCTGAAGGGGAAGAACGGGAGAATGTGAATCTAGGAAGTCAATTTTATGATGTTGGTGCCCAAGAGAGAAAGTACAGACCACTTCAAATGGCCAACAAAGGCCAACAAATGTCCACGAAGAGAGAAAGAAACAAGGTTCCCCCTGTATATTTGCTCACGTGAAGACTCCTGTTCTATACCCAATGTACCTTGAAATCCAAGGTCTTCCCAGTGGGCTCCATAACGGGCACAATCAAATCGGGAGCCAGTTAGTTTCTTGTAAACAGTTTGTAAGATCCTCATGTGCACCTTTTCATTATTATCCAAACCACCTGTACAGGGAAATGCCCATTAGGTCCTCCTCATAAATGAGAACAAGATCATTTACTTTGTACTTCATAAGGCCCAAATTAGTCCTCCAGCCTCTCTGCTTAAAGATCTTAAAGAACACAGAAAGAGTCTGCCTGAAATCCATGATGACCTATTGCCAGTTAAAACAGACCACACTGAATTAGCTATAACAAAATCTGCTCAAGGCCACTTTCTTTGTCTTCGTAGAAATATACAAAGCCCCCTTTATTTTATTCATTTTAAATTTTATCCCGTTTTTCATTAAAAGTAATCCCAACACAGGATATAACAAAACAAATCCATAAAACTATACAGCATTGAAAAGGGAAAGCCATAAAGCAGAATAACAGGACCTAAAGATTCCAATGGCCCAACTGTTCAGCATTATCTACAACAGACAGCAATGTTTTGGCAAGGTTTTGGGCAGAAGCCTTTTCTAGTTTCCCTTGAAGTTGCTGGGGGCTGAAACCCAAACCTTCTGCATATAAAACAGATACTCCACTTACAGGTAGTCCTAGGTTAACGACGGTAACTGGGATCAGAATTTCCATCGCTAAATGATGCAGTTGTAAAGCAGGATGTCATGCGACCACATCACTTAGCAACAGCAATCCCAGCAGCCCTGGTTGCCACTGTTAACCGAATCCCACCAATCGTTAGGCGAGGACCCATCCAAACCCAAGCCATTCCCGGCTTCATTCCTCCCAGTCCTGAGCCTCGGTAAGCTAAGGCGCTGCCTCCTCTTCAACTCTCCCCACCTGCCTATCTCCTCCCCATCTCTGCCCGTTTGGCCACCCTGCACAGTGGCACTCCTTGGCAGCAGTGGCATGCACTGGGGCTGAAGTAGGGGCCCGTGGTCTCAGCCAGCCACCATCCCCAGGCCTCTAGTTCAGCCCCAGCGTTTCCACCAAGGAGTGCCGCTTCAAGCCCCATACTGCAGCCAGCCACCACAGCACAAAGCCCCAGCTGCCCCTACCGCCCTGCTGAAGCATCGCAAGAAGGCTGTGCACAATTTGGAGCAGCATGCACCTCGTATAGGGCCAGGCCAGTGCACCTCCTCAGCAGTAGGAGGAAGAAGACAGCAAAATTCAGCTAGGGGCAGCAAGGGTGGCAGAGGTGGGAGGAGATGGGAGTTGAAGCACCCCTGCAGTTTAAGTGCAGGCAGGCTGCCAAGCACCTAAATTTTGATCACATGACCTTGGGAGTGCTGCAATGGCCGTAACTTCAGGGACCAGGCATAAGTACTATCTGCTCAGTGCCACCGTAACTTCGAACGGTCGCTGAACAAATGGTTGTTAAGCAAGGGACTACCTGTGCTAAGTTCCAGCATGACATGTTCAGTACACTAGAGATAGTAAGGAAATTGCTGTTAAACTAATGCTTGCTAATTAACAACAGAGCTGTTGGGAAGATGCTTGCCTTCATTTTCAGAAGTAATACTCACACTGGGCTATAGCCAAAGCCAAGTCTCTCTCACTCTGCAGCTGTTGATGAAGACGGGGAGGACCAAAAAGGAAATGGGCCATGGCAGCCAGGCCTCTTCTTTGTATTGTTGGCCGAATCTTTTTCTGGAAGAAGGAAAAATTAAAGATAGAAAAAATGCAGGTGCTGAGAAACATATTCCCTAGCAAAACCATAGGGAAAATGGCAACACAAGGGCATAAGTATCAAGGGACATGGAAGAAAGAATTGATACAGTCTCTGAATGAGTAGGACCTCTTTTGAGATGTGCTATCATGGAAGATAGATGGATTGAGAGTGAAAGGGCTTGTAGCTACTTCTACAAGTTATATCACTTTGAGTCCTGGTTGAATTAGACTTCATCTACACAATATGAAGCTACTTCAAATCAGGACAAACTTTTTTTTTTTTTTAAAATACAATGCACAATCAACTTCAGAATTTACTACCATAAGATGTGGTACTGGCTACTAGCTTTGCTGGCTTCAGAAATGGGTTGAACCAATTCATGGAATTCATCATTAATCCTGATGGCAGTGGGACTGCCTCTGAAGGCCACCTGCTGGGAAACTAGCGGGCTTCCTTGTGCAGTCAGTTGGCCATTGTGAGAACAGACTGCTGGACTAGATGCACCAGGTCCAGTCCAGCAGGGCACTGCTTATGTTCTTATGCTACGTCCTGAAAATAACTCATATTTTGAAGTAGCCTTACAAAAAGATGAGCCACCATGACCCATTCTCTTCATGCCCATCTCAATACACCAAATACAAAATGGAAAAGCCTGTTCAATTGGTACTGACACAGCCAAGCTTTTAGCTGGTACTGATTCAGGTCTCCATACCACCCCTGTAAAAGATCTCATTGACCCCCAATTCATTTCTGTACCCAATTCAGGTTGCTAATTTACAGTGGTCAACTTCCATGCAACTGATTTCTATGCAGCACTCTGGATCTGAACTTTCCCGCTGCTAAGTTGCAGTACCACTCATAGGGAATGCAATCCTTGACTTGGTGATCACCCAAATCGAGCTAAAGTCTCACATCCCTCCTTTCTAAGCCATTGCTCTGGCTCACAAACAACAAAGGAAAGAAAAAGAGAAGAGCCTTTTTGCAAACAATATAGAAATATTGGAAATATCAACTTGGAAAGTTGCTTTGAAGTTGTCAGGCAACACAAGGATAACCCATATTACCCTGAGTGAATTCTATATAATGTTACTTGAGCTGGAGAAGGTCAATTTTTTAAGGGTACAGATGAATAGATTGCAGGTATGTATTTGTTGTAAGTTATTTATTATTAAACAGTCCCTGGAGATTATGGCAGTAGAAAAAGAAAGTCAATTAAGTTCTGAAAAATGCAGAAGATATCAAAATTGAATAGGTCAGGCTGAGAACTTGCAAAAAAAAAATGTAAAGCCCAAAATATTCTGAATTAAGAATCACATATGTACATAAATTGCATGGAACCAGAGTACTGCAAATTGAGATAGATTGGCTTCTAACCTCTACTGGTCAGAAAGAATGTATTTGTGATAATAAACCATATTTATGTGCAAAAAAATCTGATTCCCCAAGATCTCAATCTACATCCATTACATTTCCCCATAATTTAGAACTTGGAACTTTATAATTCTGTATGTTTCTTTGCAAAAAGAAGGAGGGAATGGAAAGGAATGGTTAATCATGAAGATTTATCCTACTAGCTCCAGTAATTTTAACTCTCCATGTAAAAAGGAAATAGTAGTAAGTGTTCTGAGGACCACACAGGAACTGTCAACTCAGCATCTTCAGTCCCTAAAACAGTGTTGTCCAAATTTGGCCACTTTAAGATGAGTGGACTTCAACTCC